AGCACTCAAATAGATATGCACACTTGTTCTGAGGACCTCTACCCACCAGAGTTTAGTACAAACCTACTATATTAAACCCACCCAGGACATAACTACTTCCATTTATACATACTTGAAAGATCTGCCACTAGTGCAAGCCTCTGTTCTGCTGGTAATGTGTGCCTAAATTAATTCAAGAATTTAGGGAGAATAGGACCAACACATACCAAGAAATGATGATATACTTTAATAGGCACAAATAACCACTAAGAGCATCTTTTTTTTTTTTTAACCAATATGGAATTTACTCAGTTATAACAGTAAAGATGGGCACATAACACACAAACTCTCTCAATACAGCTCCCCTCCCCCCATACACAGAGAAAAGTTGATTTTAGGAAGAGGAAACCTAGTTCCATCAAGAACTTCACTTGCAAACAGTACACAGTGAAGTGTGGGTTCATGTGGTCTCACTGACATCTAAAAACTTGGAAATGAACTTTATTAGACACCTCAAAGACCAATAAAGTGTGCCTGGCATAGTCTGTATATAATGCATCTCAGTATCTAGTTTATAAAATCTAGTAATAAATTTGGTATACTGTTTCAGGATTTCTTTAATACTCAGATACAAAGTAGTTTTTTGCTTCTTTAAAAAAAAAAAAGTCCAACCAACTAATCACTGCCATTCAAAAAAATCAGATCAGAGTAACAAGCAATGGAAGCAATCATTCTCAATATATTTGCATAACAGTGGGTATTCTAAAACTGAGTCAGAAAATGACTAGTGTTTGCCTATTGCTATTGTAGAGTGGGAACCCTTTATCTACATCTTTGGATATAAAAAGAATACCCACCCACACAATAAAAAATGCTTAATACTTTTAAGTACAACCCAACAGAAACAAAGCATATGACTATGTGAAGGCCTAACTGATACTACTACTCACTGCTTCACCAGAATGGCTGTATATTTTTCCCACCAAAAGTAGGGCTATTGCACCATACGTTTCATGGTCTCTGTAAAGAAAAGAAATCAGTGTCTTGGTTTATATTTCTTTAAAAATCAAGCAAAATTTCTACAAATTGTTTTTAAAAAGTTTTCTAAAGAAAGCACCTCAAATCTTGTTAATGCAACAGTAACCCACATACACAGATAGAGGTGTCAAAATTTGTATCAGATCCATCTTAAGATACAACTAGCTACAATCTTTAATAAACATGTCACAAAATTACAATGTGCAAGCCTTTATGAACACAAACATTTATTTCCTGACTCCGTAGTTCATATCAGGCCAACAGAATTGGGATTTAAAGACTTTTTCAAGACTTCAAATGGTTTTGTGTTTACCATTTTAAAAGACATGCATAATACATTCCCACAGGTACTATCATATGTTTTGTTTTGTTGTGGAGGCTAGCAATAAATCGACCTTTAAAATAAATTCTCTGTGTAGAGAGAAAGGGTTGGACAAAAGGCTGAGGACTACCTTTTTAGAAGTCAGGGCTGAAGGCTTTTTTTTTCCTCTCTGTAGATCTTCTTGACTGGTTAAGTTTTTCTATTTTTGAACTTGGGAGTTGGAAGTGTGTGTAAAGGACAGGTCTAAATGTTTGCAAGCAGGCAAAATATATCCAGTTATTTCTACTGACCCAAAAACAAGAGGAAAAGCCTTCAAAAGAGGTCTTAGAAGGATTATGCTGTCGCCCCAAGAGTTAGATTCTCCTGTAGGAAAAGAACTATTTTTAAATGTTTTGGAAACACATCAAGGGGATGTAATTGGGAAAAACCCAGAATGTGGAAAACTCTACAAAACAAAATTCATGGTTTCTTTAAAAAATAAACGGAGAGAATTAAAGTGATGGCAAGAGAAGGATCAATGGAAAGAGACTTAACAAAATCAACCAACTATAATGTATGAACTACATCTGGACCTGGTGTGAAAAACTGTAGTAAAGTTTATTTTTTTTAGGTGTGATAATATAGTATGGCTATGGGTTTCCTTGTAAGTCCTCACCTTTGTATTCTGCCTAAAGCTATCGTTAAGGCAGTTTAGCAACCTGAAGAAATTATATACTGCTAAATGAAGTGTATCAATTTCAAAATTACAAGTTAAAGGTTAAGAAGAAAAATAGGAAAACCCAAACCTAATTTGTAGGGTTAATTATTTTCATCTGCTAATAGACTAAAATAACAATTATAAAAAGAAAGTGCCCTAAGTATTGCTAATAAGCAGACATGGGTAGCAGGTAATTTTAATTAGCTAAGAGGGTTGCATATAAAACATTAATAGAGTTTAGACAAAACTAAAGAATGTCCTGTCTAAAGGTATTCCATTTTAAATGAATAACTATGCTTAATTGTTTTTATCCTTATCCTCAAATCCCCTTATTGTTTGTCATTTATCTACCAAGGCCAATTACCTTTAAAAGAGGAAGAATTCTCAAATCAAGAAGTACAGTACAGAAAAACCAGGTCACCTGGTCACCCTGTTCACTCTACATGTATGTATGAAGGGGCTTTGAAAAATTCACAGAAAAATTCCATTACCTTTTCCATTTTCCCACAAATTTTTAGAAGTCTCCTCAAAGACTGAAGCCTATATTTTGTGATAAGTGAACTTCCCAAAACAAAAATAATCAAGCCTCGTTAGAGAACAAGAGATCTGAGGGTCAGTCACAATGATTTGCCCAAAATCACAGTGTTAACTGAAGAGGTAGGAACTAAAATCAAGCGCCCTGACAATCTGTACAGGTCTTATAATCACTTATTAACACTTCCCTTCCCACCTCCTTTCTCTATGTTGTTGTTTGAGTTACATGTGTCCTGCTCCTGATATCCACAAGCAGGAAAGGTGTTCTTCAATCAAATAATTCTGAAAATAAGGCAAAAAGATATCATAATGACAGGGAGGTAAAAGAATTTCAAATGCTTAATAAAAGTAACTATTGCCATTCCAAATATATTATAAATCCTGTTCTCCAGGATCAAACACTTTTTCCACAGTGGGCAACTCTCCAACTTTAAAAGACACTTTTATACTATGTATAAAGTCAGGATAAAATAAAGTTAATGAAAGCAGTAACTGGCCCTCTAAAAGACAGAGGGAATTCAAAGCACACATACAAGAATGAACTTAGTCTCTCAAACATACTCTTTATTACTTTATCTCACTGGACAAGCAAGAACCAAGATTTAAGAGCCTATTGTTTTCCCCAGTGTTGTTGTGAAGTCGAGTTGGTTCTGACTCACAGTGACCCTGTACAGGGTTTCCCAGTATTGTTGTTAAGTGTCATCATGGGGACCCTGTATAGGGTTTCTAAGGAGTGGCTGGTGAGCTTGAACCATGACCTTGCCGTTCAAAGTGACCTTGAAGTCCAGTGCATTAACCCACAGCGGCGCACCAGTAAGGAAATGGGAGTCTCTAAAGCAGAGAAAGTTCCCGTGTCCGTTAACTGACTACACAATCTGCTTGCTTCCAACACCCCTATCACTTGTGTTATTCCATCAAAAAACTGTTGCTGTTCACTCCAATTCCTGGTGGACCCAGTATGTCAAGAAGATAACTGTTTTACATAGGATTTGTAATAGCTGGCTTTTTGCAAGTAGATTACCGAACCTTTCTAATTGGCTCTAGGTGAATTTGAAAGTACACCCAGACTGACTCTGAATTAGCCAATGAAATCAAGGCAAGCAATAAATTTTAGAATTACCTACTTCTTTACTTACTGCTTTAAAAAAAAAAAAATCAGACCAACTAACTTTCTAATATGAAAAAACATAGCTTTTAGAACCAGATCAACCTTTTGAACCCTTTCTTTACCATCAAAAACCTAGCTGACTTGTCAAGTTAAAGGAATCGCAATTTCTTCCTATACAAATATATAAACACTATTTAATGCATGTGGTACAATGCCTGGCACTGTAATAGGTACCTCAAAAAAGCTTGTATGTTCCTCCTAAAGATTTAATTCATGGGAAATTCAAATTTAAAAAAAAAATTTTTTTTTAAATCAACTGAAGAGTATCATCTGAATGATAGTGGAGCCTGTAAAAAGTGTCCCTTGAGTTAACCCCAGCACTCCAGAAGGTGTGCAATCAAAGCGGTCACAGATTACAAACTGTATCGGCAGATCCTCTTTACAAATCATATTAAATTATGAAAAAGTAGTAGCAAACTAGTAATCCACTAAAAATTACAAATTTGTTTTATTTCCTCACTTTGGAAACTTACCACTTCCACAAATAGTACCTCTGAAGTAAGCACCTAAAATATAGGGACCGTATGTCTTATACATGGTATACTCAGAACACACAAATGTGCTCAATAAAAATTTGTTGAAAGTTGATCATGGTTCCCCTTAACGGCTCTTTTCCCAAAAAAAAGAAAAAAGACAGGATCCCTTCACTTTGAAAAATTGAAACACTCATGAAAAGTTCATGTGAATAGCTCTGCCAACAAAACAAATTGCTGCTTATAAGAAACACTATAAGCAAAATAAATTCAAACTCAAAAACTGTTAATTTCTACATAATATTAAAAAAAAAAAAAACACCAATACAAGGAGTACTTCAAAACGAAGCACTATCTATTCCATTTGCAAGAATTACTTACCTTTTTGCCCCTTCCTTTTGCAGATTTGAAATCCAGATTCTCACACAATCACTGGCCTTCTCTTCTGTTTGATTCAATAGCAAACACACTACTGAGTATCTCTCACTATGAAACTCATCAGTAGAAAGCACAATAATCTTATTCTGCTTTCTAACTATCAAAAAAAAAAAAAAAAGTGTAAAAGTCCTGAGGCAATATTCTTACCAAAAAGAAAAAAAAAATTGAGATTAAACAGTGTACAGACTAATTGCAATGCCCCCCACATCTTTCTTTCATGCACCATACTATGCTATAAATTTTAAATGCCCTTTTTCCCCCAAATGGGAGAGCATTCTTGTGTCTTGATGGGAGGGAAAGGAGTTAAAAAGTAAAACACACTAATAAGCTACTTCCAAGCAGGTAAGATACCATCAGAGTGTGTGCTGTTGCAGCAAACAGAATGGAGAGCTGTGAATGGGAGTCTCTGCACTTCATATCTGCAAAAGAAGAGAATAAAAAGGTTAACTCTAGATTTCAAGGCAGACGATCTTCATTTTTTTAAAGCAGTGCCCATAAACCTTTTAAATCAAAACAATGGAAATTGCGCTAGTTATGGCAGAGGTTTGTAGATGAACTCAACCGCCTTGTTCTTAATACATATGTAAATTTAAACCAATCTACAGTATCATAAAACATTTGGACATTTTATGTCACTTTAAGGTTAAAAACAACAACAACCCGGTGTCTTCCTTAGACTTTCCTTAAAACTAAAATTAGCCAAATAGGCTTTTCTACTGAGCAAAGTTAGGAAAGGGGAATGACTCCTAACATTAAAATAACAGCTACAGGCTTCTCTGTATGGAGTGACATATAGGGCATCCTATTGCATACACACTTTTCTCCAACCCTTTAAGTTAAAGGTTGATGTGAGGACAGGCAAGTGTCTCCCAAACAATCGCTCCCGCCCAACACTTTGATCTCTGAAAAAAGAAAAAAGAAAAAAAACCATCTGGCATTTTGCATTGACCTGCACTCCCCAGCGCGGGAGAACCGGGGTCTGGACGAGACCAGCTGCACCCCCTACACCGGCACACCTGCCCCAGAAGAGCCCACCTGGGGCAGGGGCCGCCCTCTCCCGTCTGCGCGCCCGCCCCACTCAGAGAGCCCGCCACGCGCCGCACGGGAGCAGAGGGCGGTGCAGGCGGCGGGGCCCCGCGCGCTTAGGAGGCGGGAGCCGGAGCCTAGGGGCCGCCCCGGCCCGCTCGCTCCCTCCCTCGGGACCGCGTTGGCCGGGACGCCGGGGGGCGTGATGCGGGGCGGGCGCGGTACCTTTTGGACAGATCCATAAGGACACCAGAGAAGAGCTTCTCCCCGAAGCGAAACGACACGACGAGCGCGTCCTCAATGATGTGGTCCAGCGTGACCCGCACCTCCGAGCCGGGGATCAGTTGCGACACCGCAGAGTCTCCGCCCGTTGGCGGCACGAGAGCCGGGGTTACGGGCTGGGGTAGCGGCGGCTCCTCGCGCTCCTCTGGAGCCAGAGGCTGCTCGGGTGGCGGAACAGGGGAAGGTGAAAGGTCGGGCCCTTCTTGGAGCGCGACTGTCGCCGGATCCGCAGCCCGTGCAGGCAGCTTCTCCTCAGCCTCCGGCTCTGGCTCCGCCGCCTCTGGGCTGCGGGCGAGCTCCCCTGGCGGCGGCGGTGGTGGCGGGAGCGGCGGCTCATCGGCCTGAGGAGCGGACTGCTGCCCGTCGGCCTCCCCGTCCGGCACAGATGCTTCAGTGGCCGTGACCGGGAGGGTGTCAGTACCAGCCTCGCTGCCCGGGATGGGCTCCATCTCAGGCTCGGCCTCTCCGGCGCCCCCCTCCCCAGGGGACGCTGCAGTCGCTGCCGCCTCTGCAGCCACAGCCGCCATTTTCTTTCTGGCTTCTCCCTCCTCCAACTCTGGCGGCAGCGGCAGCGGCGGCAGCGCTGCTTAGTTCCCTGGGCCTTCCCCTCCCTCCTGCGATCAATTTCGTCCCGCCTTTTCCCTGATGCTCGTTATTGGCACCGCGCCATTGGTTCCATCCTACACCCCTCCCATATTTGTGACATTTCATTGGTCAGTCGAAGACGTCTATCATCTCTCTAGGCAGTTCAGCCCTCCCATATACACTAGGAACTTCTCATTGGCCAGATGATTTGTCAAATGTCGAATCTTAGAAGAGGAGTGAGGAGGCGGGCTCAAATGGGGAGGGGAAATTAACAAAAGCGGAGCCGTATCCTTATCGCCTCTTCTTATTGGCTGAAGGAAGAATTATAGTGTTATAATTTGCTTGTGCTCCTGCCCATTATCAACCCGGTTTTCAGAGGTGGGAGTAAGGAATCACGTGTGGTGTCAGTTCTTTCAAAGGCGGCCGAGGGGAGGAGTAACAAGAGAATGCGGGAGGGTAACCGCTTCCCGAGATACCCTGCGCGGAGGTCCTTAGAATAAATGTTATTTCTAGGCGCATATCTGCCTGTGACCGCGTGTGGGCATGGCAAGCTTCTTTGAGAAGGACCACTAAAGTTTGAAAAATATCTACAAACACTTTTGAACGCTTACTGTGCCAGGCATTGTGCAAAATTTTGGAGATAGAGAAATAGACAAGATACTCTTCATAATCTCTTGGCAGCCCCCGGGCAGGCCCCACACTAGAAGTATCTTTCCTGACTTCTCTCCACTTTCTAGGAACAAAGCACCAACTTCTTCCAACAACAACAATTCTAATGAAAAGAGAAGGGCAGTATGAATACTGGAATAAGCTGATGAATATTACTGAAAGCTGTCCTGGGGCATTGCTGAATTTCTTTGTGAACATCGCTTGTTCTCTCCAAATTCATTGGAAAGTGGTTGTATGTAGTTAAACCTCTTTCCCAGCCTCTCCCATGCTGGAGAAAGATGAGGCTTTCTGTTCCCGTAAAAATTTACAGCCTCGGAAACCCTATGGTGGTGGCTGGTACAGAGTTTCTGAGGCTATAAATCTTTAAGGGAGCAGAATACCTCATCTTTCTCCCGCGGAGCAGCCAGTAGTTTCGAACTGCTGACCTTGCGGTTCGCAGCCCAATTCGTAAACCACTACGCTACCAGAGCTCCTTCGGAAACCCTATATAGGGTCGCTATGAGTCGGAACCGACTGCACGGCACATAACCACCAACCACAACCCATACTATAGGTACAATAGACCTCTCGCTTCACTGTCCTGTTAGCAGCATTTCAACTCTCTTGTTATACCGGGAATAATATACTGAACTTTCTCTCAGCTTTTACTCCTGAAGAGTTAGTTCTTTATTATTATTATTATTATTTTAAGTGCCGCCGAGTCAGTTCCGACACGTTGTTGTTGTTAAGTGCTATCGAGTCGGTTCCAACCCATAGCGACCCTGGGTAGAGTTTCCGAGGAGCGACCCTGGGTAGAGAGTTTCCGAGGAGCAGCTGGTGAACCTGAACTGCCAATATTGCGGTTAAAAACGACTTTGAAGTCTGGTGCATTAACCCACAGCGCCACACCAGGACTCCATGTTGTTGTTGTTAAGTACCTTTGAGTCCTTTAGGACCCATAGCGACTGGAGGCTTTAAATCTTTACAAGAGCCTCGTCTTTCTCCAGAGGAACTGCTGGTAATTTCGAACTGCAAACCTTTAGGTTAGCAGCCCAACTCACAACCACCAGGTTACCAGAGCTCCTTCCAGGACTCCATGTTGTTGTTGTTAAGTGGCTTGTAGTCGATTCCGACCCATAGCAACCCTGTTTCCAAGGAGCAGCTGGTCAGCTTGAACCGCCGACCTTGCAGTTCAAACAACTTTGCAGTCTGATGCATTAGCACACAGCGCCACACGAGGACTCCACCCAGGACTCCATAGCTGTGGGTCAATGCACTGAACTGCAAAGTCGGTTTAAACGTCAAGATCAGAGGTTCAAGCTCACCAGTTGCTCCTCAGAAACGTTATACAGGGTCGCTATAGGTCGAAACCGACTGCAGGGCACTCAACAACAACAATGCTTGTAGGAGAGAGAGAAGTCGACAACCCTAAAAGTAATTTTTTAAAAACTAAGCCAAGAAATAATTACAGTTAACATTTTTTGAACACCTACTAGGCACTATAATAGCTCCTTTTTTCCTTATAGTTCCCCTATAAGGTAACGGCAAGGTCAGTAGTAAGCATCTACCAGTCATTCCGCTGGAGAAAGATAAGGTTTTCTGCCGCCGTAAAGATTTACAGCCTCGGAAATCCTTGACAGGTTGTCTACGAATCGGAAAGGACTCAGCGGCACACAACCACTACCACCATGAAGTTGTTGTTAAGACCGACTAGTGAGCTTGAACAACGGACGCTTTGCAGTCAGTCTGTAGTACCTACCACCATGGTGGTTATGTGCTGTGGAGTCGGTTCCGACTCATAGCGACCCTGCACAGGGTTTCCAAGGCTGTTAATCTTTACAGGAGCTGATAGTTTCGAACTGCTGACTAGAGCTCCATACCACCATGAAGTAGGGACTATTATTATACACATTTTTTATATACAGAAACTGAGGCATAAAGAGATGTCCAAGGTCACTCCTAATAAGTTGCAGAGCCAGAATTCCAATTCTAAATTGAAAAGACTAAAAATAGAAACAAACAAATATCACCATATGTTCTGCTATTTCAAACCACGTGGTTCTTGAGAAAAGGCCAGTAGGAGGCCTTGTGAAAGCCATTTCAGACTCATTTTACAATGTTGTTGTTGTTAAATATCCTGAAGTTGGTTCCCACTCATAGTGACCCTGCACAGGGTTTCTGAGACTGTAAATCTTTATGGGAGCAGAATGCCTCATCTTTTTCCAGGGGAACAGCTGGTAGTTTCAAACTGCTGACCTTAAGGTTGGCAGCCTGACTCATAACCTTTATGCTAAGTGGAAGGAAATTTACTGATTGTTCACTCTATGCCAGAGATTTCTCCATAAATTCTCATGTAACAATGTTGTTGTTAAGTACAGTCCATTTTATTCCACCTAATCGCGAACCTGCATAGGGTTTCCAAGGAGCAGCTGGTGAGGTTTGAACCGCCAACTCTGCAGTTTAAACTGACCTTGTGGTCCAGCGCATTATCCTCCAGCGACACACCAGCACTCCCAATACTGAGAGTTAAATCTCCCTCATTTACAGATGAGGAAACTGAGCCTTAGCCAGACTAAAAATCTTAAAGGTTACACTGCTAGTTAGCAGCACATGCTATCTAACCCAGGTCTTTCCAAGAACAGTATTGTCTCAATCACTTATTGATTCAATAAATATTTATCAGTTACAGGCCAGATGTCTGCAGTAAGCAGACATGGATCCTGCTTTCCAGGGTTTTCATTATGTTCACTGTACCTATAATTCACTATGACTGATTCATTTAGCATAACACATAATTCTCTGAATCTCCTATATACCCACACTGAGTTCCCAGATTGTTTTAGGGGAATTGTTGGACTGCAACAATTGTTCCCAGATTGTTGGACCGCAAAGTCGGTTTGAATTGCAAGGTGGCCAGTTCAAGCTCAACAGCCGCTCCTCAGAAACCCTAGACAGGGTCACTATGGGTCAGAACCCTCGACTGCACTTAACAACAGAAACAAAAAACGCATAGAAAAAAGTTCCATTATCTACTAATTCCATTTTCCACAAACTTTTTGAAATCCCTTTATATAATCTTCCACAATGCGCCCTGGTGTGCACAGTGGTTCAAGTGCTCCAGTGCTAACCAACCAGTCAGCAGTTCGAACTCACCAGCTGTTCTGCCAGAGGAAGATGTGAGAGTCTGCCTCCCTAAAGATTTACAGCCTTGGAAACCTATAATCTCCCAAAGGGAGAGAAATACAGTTCCGGTCCTGAGTCCTGATTACCTCTTGCAGTGATTCATTGCAAGATGCTGCAATGAATAATTTAACTTTCAGATTTATAGCAGATTGTGACTATGACGTACTAAGTCAGCCTTCTAAACCACCATTTTCATCCTCAAGAGTCTCTAAGGGCTTTGTATGTTCACATTAAGTGCACCCTCTTCTGTTTGCTTTTCATGGTCCTCTCTGCTTCTGTTCTATCTTTCAAGGCCTATTTTCCCCTGCTCTTCAAGGTCCCTAATATTTGAAGATCTGGCCATGCATCTTTCATCCATTATATTAATCCATTCATTCAACAAATACATACTGAAGGCCTCCTATGAGTTAATTACTGGGCTAGGTAAGCACAAGACATTCAATAACGAACACAAAAGACAAGTATCTCCCATTCTGGAGCTTATTTCTTCCGTTGCTGATGCTGAATGAGAAAATAAGCAAACAATGGAATAGACAAGATAATTACAGATTATGAGCAAGGTCATAAAAAATATAAACAAAGTGATGTGATGAAGAGCAATTGGGGCATGGGTGGAAGGGAATCTCCTTTAGAGAGAGTGTCCCTGACCACTCTGTGAGAAGAATACATTTTAAGTAAGATTTAAAAGATAAGAAATAGCCAGATATTGACATAGCTGGTTAAACAAAAGCATATAAAGAAATATTAACTGCTGAAGTCCTGGGGAAGAGGAGGACTATACTTGTGTCCCAGAAACAGAAAGATAGTCAGTGAAGTTAAAGAGGAATGAGCAAAAAGAGTGGTTGAAATGAGGTAGAAAAGGAAAAGAGGACCCAAGTGAAATGCTAATAAAGCACTTACTGAATTCACATATGGAGTCCTGGTGTGGCACTGTGGGTTAATACTCCAGACTGCAAAGCCTTTTGAATTGCAAGGTTGGCGGTTCAAGCTCACCAGCTGCTCCTCAGAAACCCTATACAGGGTCACTATGGGTCAGAATCGACTCAACAGCACTTCACAACAACAACAACAGGCATTACAAATGTTGTTGTTGTTGTTAGGTGCCATCGAGTCCTTACCAACTCAGAGTGAGCTT